GTTTAAAAGTAGTCCCACATTTACCTGCCCTTCACACACAAGCACATATGCCACAGAAATGGGATATAGGTGCTTCAGGGAGAAACTGTTCCATCTTTTCCCCACAGACCAGTCTCCCATCCACCTTGTTGAAGTATAGAAAGTACAGTCCTGCTCAGGTTCCACTGGGGTTCCTGGTCAAAGTTACTGAAACTTTTTTAAAGTCTCAACTGATGCATGTCTTTTTCCTTCCCTACAGGTGGGCATGTATTTCCAGGTATAGTCTTACATCCATCAATCTGACACACTAGTAAGAAGATGTAAAAGGTCATAATAAGAACACAAGGAAATTCATTAGAAAGAAATGACTACTTGGAAATTCTAAAGAAAGCATTACACTATTTGAATTTTCAAGTAGTCGGTTCCAATAATTGTCACCTGCCCAGTCAAATTCCATTGCCTTTTAATCTGATTCTTTGAGGAAAGATAAATCAGGTCAACACATCCCCAAAGCTGAAGTTTGCCTTGATTAAGGTATAAAACAATGTTTTGGTTTTTGGTAGCATGACATGTTTGCACTACTTATTCCTGGTAACAGTTAAACTTTTGGATTCTCACTGTAAAACCTGAGATTTACATGTTAATTGGAAGTCTTCAGGTTAGAAGGCTACTATACCATTAGAATATGCATGTTTAGGTATGTCTGCACTTTCCCATAATTCAAGATGGGTAAATTAGAGCATATGAAAAAATCAGACACTTGGAATCATCTCCAGTGCATACCTCACCTGCTTGGCTCCTGCCCATCATCTGTGCTTCCGATAATGGGAAATCAAAGAAAGTACTGGGCTTGAGTGATAGGACTTCCACTGTAGATTCTTTTGAGGAAAATAAAGATCCCTTTCTAAAACATTTTTAGTCTAATTAAACTATTTCAAAGTAATGTGATTGGTAGATTGTCTATAACTACCACTTTTAGCAACTTTTCCAGAACCTGTGAGCCCGGGTCAGGGCCAGCCTCTGTGCTTCTTACTTTTGCAATGATACAGAATATAGTAATGGCCACTTCTTTCATTTGTCTTCTATTAGAAATGTAACACCTTGGAGGAACATGACATATGCACCCAGAACAATTCTTAGCTTAGAAAAAGCTGGATGAATGAACAACATAACATCACAGAAATTGTAGAAAGTATTCTGAATTTAACTCTATCAAGTGATCTGCTGGACTGTCCTCTGTGGTCACATGTTGGTTAACTGATATTGCAAGCTTTCTGATACGGGGCAGTAGAGTTACTCTGATGGGTTTGATAAATAAATTTTAAAAATCACTTCATTTGATGGAATCAAAACAGTAGCAAACTAAGGCTCTTGCTACTCCATGACCCTACTGTACTCATGCATATGTGAAATGATTTTCTGTATAATGTTGCTCATATATTATGTTTCTTTTCTTGTATGTTTGCAATGGTTGAAAAAGTTTTAAAAGAAATCAGTATATAAGGTGTTTAAAAGCTAAAATATTTGTTACTTTTCTATTTTTGTAATTGTTATGCTTAAACATTTATTGGTCTTTGAAACAGAATGATGTTTTAGAAAATTCTGGGTAGTATAAGAACTTAATTGTCCCAGTGATGAAAGATTAGAGTTTAAGGATCACTATGCATATTTATTATTCTCATAGAAAGTGATAAATAGCGGTACTGGGAAAACCTTTTGCTAATCTACTCCTATTCACAAATGGAGTTTTTTGTTTTTTTTTAAAGAGTAAATAATTCATAGTTACAATTTTAAATGTTTACACTAGTATCTGTACTGTGTGGTGTATGAGCATGTGTACCTGCCTGTATATTAGCAAGTCTTGTGATTCTAAATATAAATTATCTTTCTCAGGCTCTTCCTCCTTTTCATTTCCACTGTTTTGCCCTAGTTCTGATTTGTACAATGTTTTAAAATATAGATTTTTGGATTTACAAAATGCTCACACATTGTAAAAAATGAAAATAATACAGAGAGTTAAACAGACCTCATCACCTTTCACCAACCCTTCTCTACTACCCAGCAGGCTTCGTGGGCATATGACCTGAGCAATTGTACGGGTCCTATGCTTGGTTTATTGTGCTGCTGTTTACTTCTTCAAATTCTTAACAATTCTGAATACAAGGTCCTGCGTTTTTATTTTGCACTGGGCCCCGAAAAATGTGTAGCTGGTCCTGTCACCATCCCATCCTTGTTTCACTCCTTTCCACTTATGCAATCCCTCTGACTGTTTGCTACTTCCAGAAATTTTCTGTGTATGTAAGCATGTTTGCATTAGTTTTTCCATTGACAGGGTTATTCTATACATATTCCATACTTTTTTTGCCTGCTCGGTGTTGCATGACTGAATTTTTCCATTAAACAGCCTCTGCCTTCCCAGCACCCATTTCCTCCTTCCCCCAGGCAGTCTCCATACTGATGCAGGATGAGCTTTCTAATTCTGGTTTTGCCACTCCTTTGCTTAAAATGTGCAATGCTTCCCTGTTGTGTATAGAATAAATTATCATCCTGGTAAACAAAACAGACGCAGTGTGCTTGCGGACTTGGGTTTTAGAGCAGGCAAGTCTGAAGTGTAACTCTGCACTAAGAAAATCACTAAGATAAGTCCTTTCTGCTAAATCAGGTCTCTGCTAGGATCACCTAATCTGAACATAGACCTTTATTTTACTTTTTACTTTTTTTATTTTTTATTTCAGACAGACTGGGAGGGAGAGAGAGAGAGAGAGAGAGAGAGAGAGAGAGAGAGAGAGAGAAACATCAATGTGAGAGAGACACACTGACTGGCTGCCACCCACACGACCCCAACTAGGGCCGGGGACTAACCACAACAATGGTACATGCCCTTGGCCAGAATCGAACCTGGGACTCCCTGGTCCGAAAACCGACGCTCTAACAGCTAAACCAAACTGGCCAGGGCATGGCCTTTATTTTTAGACCTTGCAATATCCTATCTGTCTAATAGGTAGGAAAAGAGATTTTCTCTATTTCTTACCATTATTTTGTTGATTTGCTAATAATTAGCTTTAAAATTAGCAAAGACAGTATTAGGGACTTCATGTTTATGTCCTCCAAAATGCATATGTTGAAACCCTAATCCCCATGTGATTGTATTAGGAGGTAGAGCCTTTGGGAGATAATTAGGTTTAGGTGAGGTCACAGAGTGGAGGTTAATTCATGTAAGAGTAAGAGGAGGCTGGAGCTCTGTCTCTCTCTGCTTTGTGAGGACACAACAAAAAGGCACCCAGATCTTGGACTACTCAGACTTCAGAAATGTGAGAAATAAATAAGTCTTTAAGCTACCCAGTCTACGGTATTTTCAGATAAACAAGAAAGAAAGTTTTTAGCTGTCTACAGTGTTGATTAATCTACAGCATATGATTAGATCATGTAGATTTATTATTTTATGGACAAAAAAATGAGTCTGAGAAAAAATGTATGTCATGTCCAAAGCCATGGAATTTAGTGATGAACTTAAATTAACATATACTGCCTTTCAGGTTAATAGATTGTGACATCTTGGAATTTTCCCGAACCCTCTGAATTCTGAGGTTGGAATGGTATTCTGAAAGAGTTTAGAGAAATCTGATTGTTATGGCAATAACTACTTTTATTGCTTCCAGTCCTGCATTTTTAAGATATAAAGGTTGGATTTTCCAAGTTGGCGGTTAAAAATGCCTGTGCAGTAGCCACTCACAGACATGTGCCATCATGGATGAATTATTCAATCTCTCTGAGCTTTCATTTTCTTAAGCGGAAAACAACAGATAATATCTACTACACAGAAATATGATTAGAAATAAACAAGGTTTTAACTTATCTGTTTACTCAACAGATATGTATTCAGCAACTACTATCTGTCAAAAGTTGTGCTAACAGTGAGATTAGGGCAAGGATTCACACACATTTTCTGCCCTCATGGAGCTAACAGTCTCGTTGGATGTCAGGTGTAAGAAACCAGCATAGTTTCTGTATGGAATCAATTCTCAGTAAATAATAGTAATCTCTGAATGTTTTTATATCCTTCTTCTTATAAAAGTAGTGAATACTGCTGCTTTATCTTTAGAGATAGTCTCAGTCACAAAAATAGGGGTTTTTCCATTGCAATCACCAAGTGAAAGATGTCCCTTCTCTGCCCTGCCCTTTCGGAAATCATTTGCTGGTAGAAATGCCCTTATCTGTATGCATTAATAGAGCTTTAAAAAAAAAAAAAATCAGTTTTTGAACTCAAACTTGCCCATGTGTAAGAGTTTACAAACATTTTTTTAAGGAAATGCCTATCTAATAAGAGTGCTTTGAAAATCTGGATAAGGCTTACTTACTTCATGGTAACCAAGCATCTCGGTCTATGTGCCCAGTTCGTGCGTCCGAGAGCTCTGCTGGAATCTACCTAGTCAGAGCACGCCTAGCAAGAAGACACTGCATGTCCAAGAAATCAGCTTAGAAGCCGCACTAAAGGAAAAGCAGCCTAAGGAGGTCCATGCGAGACCTGCTCGGGAATGTGAAAGAAATCAGGATGGTTAGTGTGTAGAGACAATGCCATGCACTCGGTCAGCTCCAGAAGAAGGGGTCTTGCATGCAGGAACATTTCATTGCTTGTGCGAGCTGCAGATGTCAGTTTTGACTGCTGTGCCTCGCTAGCACTGCAGTTGTCAAGGCCAGCTGCTCTGAACTGCCAGCTGTCAGTGAACACGAAGCTCTTACCAATTTGTGCAGAGAAAACCAGCATGGAATTGGATCAGCACAGGAGAGAACTTTAATATCTTCCATCTGTCAAGTAGACATACTGGAAATAATTGAGTGTTTTTGAGTAAGAATTGTTAAGGCTCTTCTATAACATTTGCACAATTTAAAAGCCAATTGCATTGTTAGTTATGCTCTGAAGAGTGAGAGGGCAGGAACTGGTCTAGCAGATACAACTGTATGGCCTTTGGTGCTGTAGGTGGTGTAAATTAGAGGCTTCGCCCGCTGGATCCAGAACCTACCTTCTTTCCTCCCAGGCACCGCTGCAGCTGACGCTTAGTTAGGACACCATACTGGCAGTTATGGGGCTGCCAAGTTATTTCTCTCCAGTCACAGGTTCTGTTATCTGAACAACTAAGGCAAGGCACGATCCATTGGCCTGGAATAGACACCAAAACCTCCTTTGGTTTAGTTTGCAGGTGACCTTGGAATTCAGCTGTAATGCACCATCACAGAAGTTGTGGTGAGAAGAAGACCACTCATGTCATACAAATCGAATGGAGCAATGCGCCGCCCCTTTCCAACCGAAAACAATTGCCGGGCATAATAATGTTCTGGAATAATACAGTTCCTGCTGAAATCAACCACATACTTACCAAAAGTTAATGGTTCAGGTACTACTCAATTAAAAAGTATATTTTAAAAAACCAAAGTAGGTGGGGAGCCACTGATACTGAGATAGTTGGTCACAAGAATTTATAATATTTAATTTATTTATGTATGTATTTATTTATTTATTTACTCATGTTTACCTTAGCAATCGAATAAGAAAATTACTTTTACATTTGATAATTTATTATTTTGAAGACTAGTTCCTTAATTTGATTGATGTCCTTTTTGGTGTGAATCTCTTCACCTCTTTCTAGCTCTGTTGCCTTTATTTCTTCAGCTGTTAGGTGAGGTGTGCAGTGTTCTCACATGATTGGTGTGAGGATTCAACGGGGTAATGTATTTAATGTATCAAGCACACTCACAATATCATATTCACCTTTATTATTAGCAGACTTCAGGCATGAAGTCTTTACAGACTTTACAGACTTTAGTAAATGTTTATAAGATAAATTAATGTTCTTAGTGTCTTTAAGATCTTTTCTATTTTATTGGTAAAGTAATATGCATTCAAAACTCTTCAGCTTTTAGTGTGAGTAGATGAATTAATAATTTATTAGAAAAAAAAAATCAAGCAGTGATTTTTTATTTTTCCCTGTTTATCTTTTCAGAAGTAGAGTGTGAACTAACATTAAACATGAAGTGGTCATTGACCTCCTTTGTGGAGAAGACCCTGATGTCTACAATCATAATTTGCTTTACCCTAAAGTTCTTGCTTATGTTACTATTAAATGTTGTTCTTTAAAATATTGAGGAGCTAAATATTGTCAGCTACTTTTTGAGTTAGAAAGGAAAAATTTGAACAACTTTATCCATTCTGGCTTTGATTTGTAGTTCTGCTAACAAAAGTATCAAGTGTTACATTAATTTTAGTGGGAAGAATTTCTCCTTTCAGGGGATGAATATGATGCAGTTTACATTTCATGACCATGGGGATATCAGTACTGTGTATGTGAATGCGTATGTGAAAAGAGATCTAGTTTATGCTTACTAGATGATCACGGAAAGGGAAAAATGTGTGGATATACTAAGAGAGAAACCGGGGGAGATAAAGGAAAATATTACTCTCTAGAAGGATTTTAATTTGGTGCATTATTGAAGTAGCTTCCCTATTAGATATTAGATGTATTGGTGTTAAAATATTACAACAATTTAAAAAATATTTCACATTTTCATAGCACCTACTAGGTGCTAGTAATATTCTGAGCACTTTTAATAAATTAATTTATTTAAGTCTCCTAACTGTAATGTTAAACCTCAAAAATGTATAATCAGGTTAAAGGTTTATAATGTATGCATGTAAAATAAGTATAGCATAATAATAAGTAATGCATTATTAAGTAAAAATATCTGTGTGGTACTAAAAGAGCTGGGGCTTTGGAGACACACACTTGGGCTCTGCCTCCAGTTAGCTCTGTGGATCTCAACATTACACATAAGGTCATCTCGAAAGTTTTTTGTTTTTTTTGTTAATCCTCACCTGAGGATATTTTTCCATTGATTTTTTTAGTTGGAGTGGAAGGGAGGGAGGGAGAGAGAGAGAGAGAAACATTGATGTGAGAAAGACACATTGATTGGCTGCCTCCCATACAACCCCGACCGGGGCTGGGAATCAACCCTGCGACCCAGGTATGTGCCCTTGACCAGGAATCAAACCTGAGACCCTTCAGTCCAAGGGCTGATGCACTAATCGCTGAGCCAAACTGGCCAGGGCTGGAAAGTTTTTAAAAAATCCTCATGCCCAAGTTGTTTGCTGGACTAATTAAATCAGAGCTACTGGGCATGGAACTCAGAGTATTTTTAAATGCTTTTCAGGGATTCCATATTCAGTCAACGTTGAGAACCACTTTTTAACTTGTATAGATTAATTTTTTCTCTAAAGGAAAATATGTATAACACCTGCCATAGTGCCTGCTACCCAGCAATTGATGAATATATGTTGCTCCCACCCCCACATTAAGTAAACCAGGGTAGTTCAGAATAAAGAAAGTGCCATGGGCAAGAACTGTCTGGAAGTTTACATGAAACACATACAATGGAATCAGGTCTTATGGATAGACAAGATTTGAACAAATGGAGTAGGTGGTGCTTTAGGGACAAGGATGACGGGGACAACTGATTGGGTCTCTAAAAACTTGGCCCTGGTGGTTCATACTACTATATATTTATGCAACAGTCATAACTTTGCATTTTTGTATTGGTTAACAATGCCTTTTATTGAGTTATTAATACTGGTTAAAATAGACATCTGTATAACATCTGAAGGACTGGAGTTCCTTGACATTTTAAATGATACCAGCTCTTAACTAAAATTGTCAAAAAGGATATAAATTCTATATTATGTATTTAAACATTGAATGAATCAAAGCTGTGATTTCTAAAATAAAATATGACATGTTTTAGGGAAAAACATTCTGAGACATAAAAATGCCTTTTGGGAGAAGTTATTTGATTTATAATTATAGCTTTGTATGTAATGCAAGTTAGATTTCAGCCATTTAAGTGAATCAGATTTGGCAACATAATGGAGAAAAAAATTATCTTTGTGATTTAGGGCCATGGTAAGATATAAAATCATATAGATGATACTACTAACTCCAGACTTTATAATGCTATAAAATAAAGCAGTTTTTACTTAAGAAGAAAAATACGCCCATATTTTCAATATTAGAAACATTTAAGTGGAAGCTGTTATATTTCCTTCCTAAAAGTAGATCTGATTAAAAATTTTATTTGCATATCATAAAATTAAATTTGAACTATTTTCCTTAAAGGTAATTCTCATTCAGTAATCATTGTATAAATTTCTTCTTTCTCCAAATTAGAAGAATTATTTTTCCTGTTAAATAACAGATTTTATCATTAGGTTTTCTTATAGTTAATTATTTTCGAAAAGTTAGAAATCAACTTAAGAATTACAAAGAACAGTCACTCAAAATTATATTAGCTAGTGTTATTGAATAGACATTTTGAACATCATTATGTTGGCAAGGTAAAAAAAATGGATTCAATCTGCCAAATATCTGTAATGAGCTATGCAAATCAGATTTTGGAAAAAATCTGTGGCCTAAAAAAATAATAAGCTGAAGCTAAAACTCCTAAAAAAAACTTTCTTCCAATGCTGTCTACTATGATAACTTCTTTCAACAGGAGGGAGTCTTACCATCAAGGAGGGAAATCATTGCCAACAGTGAGAAGTCCATTCTTACAAACCACTGTCCCCAATCCCACTCATTTACTTTGAATTTTAGAACCTCAAGGGTTGAGCAGTTGTCCCTGGTTGACTGAGCCCTGGCTGTTCATATTCTTCTGTGGAAGGGAGGAGGGCCTGGATCTTGCTTTTAGTTTAGCAACCATTTTAAAATCACATATTAGACATTGAAAGTTGAATAAGGGACAATTTCTGCTCTGGAGAAACATACAATCCAGGGCAGCCATCGGTAAAATCATACCACTAATGCAAGTTTGACATATTAATACACACGTACTGTAACAGAGGTGCATATACTTGTATATGTATATTGGTTAAAAAAATAAATGTACACATGTTTTAATCTTTACTGGCTTAATCCTGTGCCAATGATCCATTCAGATGCATCATTCTACTTTACAGACTACTGATTAGAGAAAAAAAAGAGAAATGTTTAAATTAAGCCCTTGAGACAATGAAGTAAGTGCTATTGTAGACATGTGCCCAAGGTATTCTGGGAGCACAGAATAGAAGCTAATCTAGGGATGGGGTGGTAAAGAACGGCTTTCTGGAAAGACAGGTAAAGCATCAGGAGGACTAGGCCAAGATGGGAAAGAGACTTGTAGGAGCAGGGAACAGCATGGACAGCAGCCAGGAGTCCTGAGGCAGCATCATTGGCATGACGTGAGACCAGAGGCTGGGAGGAGGTGGGAGAAATAGGAAGGGTTGGGTTACAGAGGCCTGGAATTTTCAAGCTAGAATGATGGGCTTGCTTGGGGAGTCAATTCGGGTGTTTCTATAATGAAGCCTAGCTCCTCAAGTTACCATCAGGCTTCTGTTCTATGTGGGCCTCTCCTGTACGGGACAAGCACAGTCTCAGCTTCATATCAGGGCCTGACATAGTTACTGCAAATTTAATGGGCACGACTTCTTGAAGAATCTCAGTAACATATCTTCGACTTTTTGTTTAAGAACTTTGATGTGGTTCAGTAGGAGGAATGGAATTAAGTCGTTTTATGGTTCTCATAAATTGTCATCTGATATAAAAGAAGTACTTACTGGACTCATCAGTGTTCCTTTGTATACAATAGTATATACAGTAAAGCTTCGATTTTGTCAATCTTGATTTAACAGACAAGATTTCACAAGATGTCATATGTGAAAATTAACATCCTGTTAATTTTAAAATGCTTTTAGCCAAGATTTGTTTATAATTAAATTCACAGGTTATTTTTTGTTGTTAATTAACTGCTATTTTTAGCAAATTTTGGTGAATAGGCCATATGTTGGAAAAAACACTAGTAATTTTGGAGACCTAAATAAATATTATATATCTTCAACTATAGTCTACATATTTAAATCTAAAAGTCACCTCTTGTAAACAATGTTTGGCGAATGATTAGCACATGATCACACCGCATTGCATTCAGTTATTGGTTCTGTGGTCACTGCATGACTTTCTGTGGCAGTTTATTTTTTTTTAATCTTTATTGTTGAAAGTATTACAAATGGCCCCCCAACCCTTTTCCCCCACTGACCCCCCTCCTCCCCACTCCTGCCCCGTCCCTGCCTTCACTGCATTGTTGTCTATGTCCATTGGTTATGCATATATGCATTTAAGTTCTTTGGTTTATCTCTTCCCAGTCCCCTCCCCTGTGAGGTTCGTCAGTCTGTTCCCTGCTTCCATGTTTCTGGTTCTATTTTGTTTGTCAATTTGTTTTGTTCATTAGGTTCCACATATAAGTGAGATCGTGTGATATTTGTCTTTCTCTGACTGGCTTATTTCTCTGACTGGCTTACTCAAGATGACTTGTGGATGCAGGCATTTACTAGACATATTCAGTATAAGTGTAAAATTACAGGAGTACATAAAGAAAAATTTTCTGTGAAATTAAACCTTTCATACATACTTAATTGTAATTCACTAATGTGTGTGTCTACATAAGTAAAAATAGGTAAACCTAAGTAATTTATCAATTTTTTAACATATGCATTTGGAAAACCTACTTTGTTATATAACCGACTTGTGACTTTAATGGACATTCCCTTGTTCGAATTAGTCTGTTACATCGAGGTTTTACTGTATCTCATTTCACCAAGAGAATCATAAATTGTACCACCTGACACACCATAATGGGTAAATCCCTCTTTATGCACTAACTGTAATTTATTATTTAGAACACATGTTCAAGATAGGGGATATGTCCATGTTTGTTAACTGTGCATGCCAAATTGCAATTTGTCCTGCCCATTTGTGAAATACATTTCCCATTTATTTATTTATTTATTTATTTATTTTTTATTTATCATCACCCGAGGACATTTTTCCATTTTTTGTTCAGGTAGAGTGGGAGGGAGAGGGAGGAACAGAGAGAGAGAGAGAAACATCGATGTGAAAGGAACACATTGAGTGGCTGCCACCCGCACAACCGACCAGGGCCGGGGACAAACTGCAACCGAGGTACATGCCCTTAGCGGGAACCGAACCCGGGTCTCTCCGGACCGCAGGCCAACGCTCTAACCGTTGAGCCAAACCGGCCAGGGCTACATTTCCCATTTAAACTGTGGTGTGAAGTTCATGGTAAGGGTAGAAAAGCTCCTGAGTATTTTTTTTTCATACTTTTTAGATGAAGAGAGACCTGGGGTCAGAAGGCCAGAGTGGTACCCAGGAATCCCAGAGAAGGTGCTCCCTGCTCCTCTTATTCTCATGGAGGCATCCTTAGTCCCAGCTTTGGTTTGACCCCACTGGTCTCCACTGCAAGAGGCAGGCTGCAGGAAGGAGGAGAGACTGGGAGTGCAGACGGTACCACCAAGGTCTCTTATTCATGGTCAGCTCTCGGCTTAGGCAGGACTGAACACTCATTTGAATTTGACATCATAATTTTCCTGCCTCTATTAATGCTCAGTATATGGAAATATTAGTGATTATTCCCAAAGACCCTTTTTTTAATTAAAGAAAATGATTTAAAATTAAACATGTATTTTTTGCAGTTCTTTGTTTCACATGATTGACAGATACTTACTTTGTGCCCACTCTGTAGAAATTATAGTGCTAAGTGGATTAATACAATTTGAGCAAATCAAATTCCTGCCCTTATGCAGCTAACAGTGTGGGAACACTGACATTAAATAATTAATTGCATACTTAATCATTTAAATAATCCTGGAAACTGCTATGGAAGAAAAGCACAGGGTACTATGGGAATATAGAAAAAGAAAACAAATCAGAGGCTCAAGTCACGTTAGAGCTGAGATCTGTAGATGAATATGAATTAAATGGGCAAAGAACAAAGGGTGAAAAGTATTTAATTAATCAAAATATTTTACACAAAACATTAATTACATGTGCTGTGGTTATAGTAATGAAAATGTAATTTATTACCCCAAGCTGTTTGTATAAGGATTTTTAAAATAAGCATATACTTATGTATATTAAAGTGATTTTTTTTAAGGGATGTGATATCCAATGTGATAGTCACCTTTTGTGTCCCCAGATGGACAAATTTTTAGTTGAGGCTGTGAAATGGCTTCAATGTAGTCAGAAGAAATAGGCTGTAATCCACAGGTTTCCTCCGGGTGAATCAGCAAACCACAATCCTGCATTAGAATAACAGAAATTAGTTATCATTGTAAGTAACCTGCCTCATAGTAATAAAATCTAAAAAATAATATATTTTTTGTGCCAAATAACATTCATGGATAAAAGGGAGCAATTCTTGTTTGCTCTTCTTAGCATATTGACTTGTCAATAGCTGTTTGTGCTATTAAGTAGCTTCTTACATTAGGGGATTAATATAAATTCTAATGACAATTTAATCTTTATTTTGGTATTTGACATTCATGTATTGCTTTGACACTTTTAAAGAAATGGATGCAAGTTTTATTTTGAAAATATACCTGTGTGTTAACACATTGAAAATATAAGATACTATAATACAGGACAATATTATCCTCTAACATTGTAAAAAGGTTAACATGAGAAGGAAAATGGGAAATATTCTGGAAGAATGCTAATTTAACAGATGACTCTTATTTTAACATTTATTAAGACTCATGGCATACCATAAATGTAATTAAACACATATTTCTTATTCAAAACACGGTCATATATTTATAAAAGTAGGTAACATCTCACTGCCATGAATATTATTATAGAGGCTTGTTCTGTACTAGGCACTGCTTTGTTGTCACGCTGAAACCTCTCCCCTCATCTCTTCTCTCCTCCAGAAGTTTGGATCACTCTCATTATCTCTTATCTTATTCTTCAAAGCTATTGGCGCCTGTACCTGTCCTAAGTCCTTCTACCCTACCTCACCTGGCTCCATGGCCACCCTTCTCCACAGGTGCTCTCAGTCAACCACAATTTAGGGCAGGTAAACAATGCTGTAATCTCTGTTAGGAATGGTCTTTCTTAGTTTTCCATGGAGAGGGTCTTTTGCGTTTTAGGTCTCAGCAAGACCTTCTTGAAATTTTAATGCAATTATGTATCCTTGTTTTTGTTTATGTTTCCTTTACACTGTTCACCATTTGGTAATTTGGTTTGCTACTTGAGTCTTTCCCACTAGACTAGATTGAATGAGAACAAATAGTTATTTCACTCACATATACACCAGTACCTACCATACAGTAGGAAACAATAAATATTCATGGAATGCATAAAAGGTTAGAGTTGTCTCCTTTTTATATAATGCATTTTCAATAATGGAGGAAAATAATTGGTTTGATCTCTTCTTTGATCTGTAACTGCTCCTACTGAGCAATCTCTAGTCATCTTCCCTCACACTCTCAAACAGCCTAATCCCTAACTCAGATTTCCAGGTCTCATACAAAAGGTCCAGAATGATAAGGAATGAAAGGCATGGGATGGTGTATAGACATCTTAAAATCTTAATTCATTCAACACATTTTTATTTTTAATTCATGACGGAAACTGGAGTTTAGGATACTTAGTAATGATTAGAAATGTGATTTGTATTAAAATGTTCATTGTAAAGCCTGACCAATGTAGCTCAGTGGTTGAATGTCAACCCATGCACCAAGAGGTCACTGGTCCAATTCCTGATCAGGGTCCATGCCCAGGTTGTGGGCCAAATCCCCAGTGGGGGGCATGCAGGAGGCAGCCAGTAGATGTTCTCTCTCATTGATGTTTCTATCTCTCTCTCCCTTTCCTTTCCTCTCTTTCTAAAAAATAAAGAAAAACAAATTTTTAAATGTTCATTATAATAAAGCAATTAAAACAACACAAATTTTGAAATGTGAGCAGTTTTTAGTATGAATAATCATGTGAAAGGGACGCACATGTGTCTGCATTGCGTGTGTGTGTGAATGTGTGTGCGTGCGACATTTATACATTTAATTCTGTGAAGGCTAACCTTTTTTTAAGGCTACAAAATATCATTATGTATATATCAGATTTTAAAAAAACATTTATATTAAATGTTATGGAAGGCAGTGAGAAATAATTACCATTATATACTGCTGATGGAAGTGCAAATTGGTTCAGCTACTTTGGACCACAATTTATAGTAAAATTAAAAATTCACAGACTTCATAGCCCTAAAGTCATACTTTAGAGTCTACTCCAGAGAAACTCTCATGAGATGCATAAAGAACATGTATAAGAATAGATCTAAATGAACTAACATAGAGAGATTTCCAAGACAGATAATTAAGAAAAACCCGAAGAACATGTTTTATTACAGAACAATACATGCCATATGAAACACACCGTGAACTCATGATCATGTCCTAATATTCATTCAGAGGGCATTAGAAAGAGAGTCCAGACCCCAGCTTCCCAAGTCCTAGTCTATGCTGTTGAAGCCCAACATGTAATTGGCAAGTAGCAATCAGTGAGAAAGGTGTGCTGATGGCTTGTCCTGTAAGGACCAAATTCAATCACTGAAGATTTGGTGTGTGATAGTTCAGGTAGGTTAGAGTTGTCTCCTTTCTGAGATGACATTTGAACTGAAAGATGTAAGTAACCAGGAGATGATAATTCCAAGAAGTGTTTGTGTGCCAGAGGCCATGAGGTGGGAAAAGAATTTATCTGATATCTTAGGTACTAAAAAAGTTATTTTAAAAAGCGAATATGCTGACAATCTATACTTTAAAAATGAGATGGCACCTCCAAGTTTAACCATGATAAACACATAGCTCAGAGGAGGAATGATTCATTCAAAATGTGCATACATCTTTAAAACGGGAAGGTGTTCATTTAATATCTACAATGTGCAAAGTGCCATACCAAGAATGCAAGGCCCTGATCTCAATAGACATAGTCTAGCTCTTCATTGGAAGCTCCTTCTTAATCTTGAACTGAAATCCACATCTTATTTGTTCTATTTATCCTCAGATGTAGCTTAGAAGAAATTTGCTGTAATAATACAGAAGCGTGTTCTGATCTGACTTTAAAGCTGCTGAAACAAATGAGTGGCAAAGGACAGAGCAGAGACTGAGAGAGGGACAGCAGATTTTGAAGTAAATAAAATGTAAAGTCACAATCTGTTTTTTGTAGTTTAGGTCAAAGAATATTCAACTATATTCTGTGCTCTCTTTTGAAATTCTCCTGAGCAGTTAATCTTTGCGTGCAGCTCCTATATCCTATTTTTTTATGTTTTAGAAAGTTAGGGCAGCCTGCAAGACTGGATATTAATAATTTTCTAGGTGCAGCTAAACAATGTTACCCTTAATGAAACAAAGTGTATGGCCCAATACAGACTCAGGCCCAGAGACTGGCTGACAGAGTTGAAGGAGATAGAAGACAGCATGGTTTCAGTATGGTTGGGCGGACTTTGTGCACATTTCATGGGGAAAGAGAACAGCAGCATACCTTGGAAAAAGCACCACTGTGAGAGGCACACTTGTGAATTTTAGTTCTGGCTTAGCCAAGAATCAGCTGTGATACTGAGTAAGCCACCTGATCTAATTGTCTCAATATAGATGGGTGAAAGGTGGAAAGAGGAGAGAGGAAAATCACATTAAATGATCTCATTTAATACTGAATAGACAATGTTAAGAGCCTACACAATATTCATTCTCCTTTCTTCCTTTCTAACAGAAAAACCTTTGTTTTGTTGTAGGTGGCAATGTATCTAGCATTTAAAAACCAACCAAACCAAACTCCCAGTCTCCTTTGTACCTGGACATGGCCATGTGACACAATTCTAGCCAAAGAAATGTAAGTGGGTACAGGCTATAGATGTCTGGAAAAGTTTTGCTTCCCTGATGCCACTTTTTCTTTGTTACTCTGTTTCTTTTTATAATTTATTATTTATTTATTTATTTTTGTTACAGATGTTTCTCCTTTTTCCCCCATTGACACCCTTCTTCCTTCCCTCCTCCCCCATCCCCAGCTTTGTTGTCTGTGTCCATTGGTTATGCGTATATGCATATAAGTTATGTTGTTTATACCCCCCCTCTTCTGGGGATTGTCAGTCTGTATCCTACTTCCACGTCTCTGGAACTACTCTATTCTTCAGACTGTTATGTTCATTATTTTCCACAAATAAGTGAGATCATATGATACTTGTCTTTCTCTGCTTGTCTTATTTCACTTAGGATAATACTTTCCAGATCCCTCCATGTCGTCTCAAATGATAAGAGATCTTTCTTTCTTGCAGCTGCATAATACTCCATTGTGTATATGTACCAGTGCTTTTTTATCCATTCATCTACTGATGGACATGTGGGCTGTTTCCAGATCTTAGCTATTGTAAATAGTGCTGCTATGAACATGGGTTACATATATTCTTTCTCATTGGTGTTTCAGGCTTCTTAGGGTATATTCCTAGAAATGGGATCACTGGGTCAAATGACAATTCAGTTTTTAATTTTTTGAGGTAACTGCATAGTGTTTTCCATAGTGGCTGCACCAGTCTGCATTCCCACCAGCAGTGTACTAGAGTTCCCTTTTCTCCACACCCTCGCCAAAACTTGTTGTTTGAGGCTTTGTTGATGGCGGCCATTCTGACAGGTGTGAAGTGATAACTCATTGTTGTTTTAATTTGCATCTCTCTGATGATTAGGGATGTTGAGCATTTCTTCATATGTCTCTTGGCCATTTGTATGTCCTGTTTGGATAGGTGCCCATTTTTAAATTGGGTTCTTTGTCTTCCTTTTGTTGAATTGTATGAGCACTCTATATATTTTGGAAATTAACCCCTTATCTGATGTATCATTGGCAATGATGCTCTCCCATACAGTGGGCAGCCTTCCCATTTCGATGGTTGTTTCTTTTGCTGTGCAGAAGTTGTTTAGTTTGATGTAGTCCCCATGTGTTCATTTTCTCCTTTGTTTCTGTCGCCTTAGGTGATGTATTAGTGAAAATTCTGCTGCATATGAAATCCAAAATTTTGTTGCATCCATTTTCTTCTAGGATTTTTATGGATTCACGAGTCACATTTAAGTATTTTTTCCATTTTGAGTTTATTCTTGTGTATGGTGTAAGTTGATGGTCTAGTTTCATTTTTCTGCGTGTAGCTGTCCAATTTTCCCAACACCACTTATTAATGAGGCTGTCCATTGTATGCTCTTGCCTACTTTGTCAAATATTAATTGAGCATAATATTTTGTGTTTATTTCTGAGTTCTCTATTC